CCGGGTGCTGCGGGCGGGGCCTCTTCGTGCCCCGCCACAAGGCTGACAAGGCGGCTTGTCTGGGGCTTATTAGAGGAGTCTGGGTGACTTATGAGATGTAGCAAATGCTGAATGGGGGGGCCCGGGTGGCACCAGCTCTGGGGCTTTTGTTTTGGGCACTGCACACAGCTGGGTCAGGCCGGGCAACCTCCCTTCCTGTGTGTTGGGTCCTATTTCAAGGTCACACGGTGGACCCTAGGTCAGAATGACCTTGGGCCTGCCAGCCTGGGGCTGTGGGTTGCTGTGAGCGGGTAGCCCCTCCCGTTTGTGCTGCTCTTCACGCGCGTGTAACGTTTCGGTTCCTTGGAAGCGGGAATGCCTCCTGAGTTGTCATTTGATGATTTATGTCCGAGTTTGCCACTGGAACCCAGGCAGGAGGGAAGGCAGCAAGAGGGATAAAGGGCCTCAAAACCCCCCAAAGAGCTCTCTGGGTGGCCTGGACAAACTGGAGCTGCAGCAGCTGCCACACCCCCACTACGTAGAGATCTGACACTGTCGGGTTCCCCTCTTTAAAAATGTTTTTGGGGCTGGCAGGTGGCATGATGGTTAAGGTGCTGGACTCCCACGTGGCCGACCATGGTTCGAGTTCCAGACCTGACAACTTGCTTTCTCTCTCTCTCTTTTTGTCTCTCTCTCTTTGGTCAAATTAAGACTAATCAGGGACCAGCAGTTAGCATAATGGCTATGTCGCTGGACTCCCATGTAGTTGACTGCGGTTCACATCCTGGACCCGGTGGCTTGAGACTCACGCCGGGCGCGTGTGCGTGAGTGCCCAAGATCCCAAGAGGAGAATGGAGGAGAAGGGATGGCAGCGTGACCATCCCCCCTGGGGGGTGCTTTCTTGCTTTCTGTCTCTCTGTCTCTCTCTGTCTGGCGAGCACACGCGTCCTATAGGGAAAACCTCTCTCAAAAAAAAATTAAGACTAATCGTAAATAAAATTAAATAAATAATTAATTTTTTAAGAATTATTTTTATTTACCTTAATTATTTATTTATTTAAATTTGACCAGAGAGGGACAGAGTGAAAGTGAGAGAAAGAGAGCGGGAAAGTAAGAAAGTAAGCCAACAGGTCTGGGACTCGAACCACGGTTGGCCATGTGGGAGTCCAGTACCCTTAACCATCATGCCACTTGTGGGTCCAAAAAATAATTCTTTAAAAAAGTTTCCAAACACTTTTTTATAAAACAACTTACACATTTCAAGTTGATAAAAATGAATATTACATAATAAACTTATCTTAATATTAAGATAAGTTTCCTTTGAGTGGGAACTTCCTTGCCAGTGCTCAGAGGGCTGTAGACTAATCTAGAAAAGGCACTGCTGTGGTCAGTGAGACTACTTAAATTGGACCGGGGGGCCCTGGGGACTTCTTTGTCTTAGTCGCTGCAGCCCTGTCCTTCAGGTGGCTGGGGAGTTTGCTGTTTCCCTTAGCCTTCAGGTCTCAGAGCCCTTCCAGGACAAGCCGTGTGGCTGCTGTCTGCTTACCCACGTGGACACTGCTCTCGGCTCTGCCACGCCATTAGAACTGGCAACTCCATTTGCATTGATTTTTGTTGCAAATCTTATGAAGAGGGTGATTCTGGCCACAGTCGATTTGAAGTTTATTTGTTTGTTTCTCCCATGAGTGAAAGAAAGACAGCACCCCCAACAGAGTCTTTAAAAAAATGTTTTTCTTTGTTCATGCTACTGTGCATGTGCACATGTGTGTGTGTGTGTGTGTGTGCGCACGCAAGAGAAAGAGAAACACCTTCTACAGGTCTGTTCACACTCCAGTCCCCTCCTCCAGCCCTCCAGCCCTCCAGCTCTCCAGCCCATTGGATCTTGCACACTCACATGTATGCCCAATGTGTTTCAGGCTGGCAGGGCTGGGGATTTGAACCATGGTCACCATGTGGTTTCCAGCACTGTAGTCCAGCATCGTACAATCTGTACCACCATGGCTGAACCCCCAACAGGGCACCGATGTCATAGTCCACCCAGTTTTCGCCACCTCTAGAGCTCGAGCAAGTGTGTACTAGCATTGTCAGGGAGGTCTCCAGACCTGAACCAGGAACCTTCATGTGTGCACTTTTCACAGGAACCTTCACAGAACACTTTTTACCACTGAGCCACTGTCTGGCTCCACACATTGTATTTTAAGGCTATGTTTTGTTTTTGTTTTTGTTTGTTTTGTTTTTAAAGATATATTTATTTATTATTTCACATGAGTTTTGCCAGAGAAAGACAGAGTGAGAGTAAGAGTGAGAAAGCAAGCTGCCAGGTCTGGGACTCGAACCTCAGTTAGCCATGTGAGAATTCCAACACCTTAACCACCACGCCACCTGCTGGCCCAAGCATCTGGTTTTCATAAATTGTCCAGGCCCTGGGTGGCTGCCATCTTGAGTCACTGTCCCAGGAAGGCCAGCCCCTTCCCCACCCCATCTCTGCTCCCCTGGACGCTCCTGTCATTGCTTATTGGAACTTTGCCTGCGGTGTTTGAAGTGTTAATCCAGAGACACACGAAGCTGCCAGCTGGCCTCCTCCAGGCCGTCCTGAGTTGGAACACTCAGGAAAGATTTAGAAAGGTGATTCTGCTGCACTTGGGGCTCTGCCCTTGGGCTTCACGGCTGACTGGAAGTTTCAGGACCACAGACAGCGTCCCGTCTCCCCCACACGCACACCTGTTCTCCCAGAGGTGGGACTTGAGGACTGTGAGAAGGATAGGAAAGTGTCCTAGGCAAAGACTTCATGTGCTTGGACCAAGGGAGGCACTAGAGGGGGCTGGTGAGCCGCAGGCTTGAGGACTCCATTGAGCTCAAACCCCAACTCTGTCACTTCCTATTTGCCGGTCACCAAAATGGTCACCAAGAATGACTTAACGGAAGAAGTTCAAGACCCTTTATTATTTTAAATGCCAACTGTTTACATTAGGGCCTGGCCTCATCCACT